AGAGGTCAATAGAACGTAAGCACCTGAAAGAATCAAAAAGAACTGCATCATTTTAAATAAAGATTTTTTTTTCAATTTTTACCATATAGAATAAGTTAAGTCGGTTTTATTGAATTATTTTTACAGCAACTCTAAGTTACAATAGTCAAATTAAATGGATAGCCCATAAATGCAACTATAGGCTATATATATGATATATAAGTTATAAATATTTCGATGAAACATGCCAAACATGGATTGTCTCAAAAATCCATTTTATTGAGTCATATTTTTACATTTATTACGAAATTACTTACATAGGTTAAATTTAACAATTTCAAGATAATTTATGTCCCACTTATAACTGTTTTAACACTAAAAGCTCGTCTCTACTAATACTAAACTGCATTAATTTAATACTAACTCTACATATAATAGTTTAATCACTGCAGCAGTTATTAATTATTGTTAATATCAATAAAACGTTCAATGTTAACTGGAGAACATTATTTATCCATATAGTTGTTTCTATAATGGCCTGTTGCATGCTAATTAAAGTTAATGGCAATAAGTCGTTAAATGTTAATGTTATCCCGCTTAAAACCGTTCTTCTTTAGGTAATCTTAAGGTATTTTGCAGTGTGAGCTATTTCTGAAATTGACATTTCTTTAACGGTATTTATTAATCGGTAATAAATATGATTAAATATGTATACATAAATTTTTTATTTTAAAGTTCTTTACAAAATGCAGTTATTAGCTTCAACTGCAACAATAGTAATACTAATTTAAATCAGGTAATTAAGTGAATTGGAGAGAATATCGGTAGTACTAGCATGGCCCCTTGACATTCTATTGTCTAGCGTCCTGAAAAAGACGATAGTATTTTGTTTGATATACCATTGTCTCAATCCTAAGTACTAGGTTAGTGATTCCATATTTGAAGTAGGTACACCAATTCAGCTGGCTGCTAAAGAAATGTTAGTCTAACATCTTTCAGACTTTTGTAAAAAGAGTAAGTGAATTTAAATTAAGAATTTTTAGTGAACAAAAAATGGATAAATAGAATAAAATATCATCTCTATTGTATTCTTCTTCTAGTACTTTACTCTTGACTCATAGTTTTCTTTATCTAGTACGTGATCTCTGTAATCTTTACCTTCATTAAATTAGTCATCTCCAACCAGTTTTTCCAAAGGTTTATGATTCTAAATATTAAATTAGATGTGGTGGGTTGGTTCTAGTGGTGACACAGCCTTATCTTCTTTCCAAGTAGTGCATGGATGCCGTTTTATTACTATATTTCTATATATATAAAATTGTAAGTGCCACAACCCCTCCTACACTGTTGATAAGGGGACAAGTTTTAGAAGATCTTTATTTGGAAAATCTAGTAACCTGATTACTTCTTAGATTTCCAATATGAAATGTTTCGATCTTTCTATCCATAAGCATGTTCCCTTTTTTATTTTTCTCCCTTGCAGTTTCTGCATTTCTCTTCAAAGAAAAAATTTTAGGTATAGGGGCCTACCAGCTAGTGCAAATCTTGCCAATTCAGTATCAGCCCTATCCAGGTTTACGTTCTCAATAAATTGTAGTTTTATTTTTATACTGCTTCCCTTAGAATGCAGTAATGTATATGGTTCAGTATTTGAGTTCAGTATTTGTTTCTCATAGTTTAGCTTTTGCATTCACAATTTCAATTTCTTGTGCTCGCTAGTGTCTTGGAATCCAGAACAATGGTATTGTGCACTGTTCACTCACTGACCTTAGTAGAGTTTAATTTACTAACAGTTTTATGCTGCGGTTGGACAGTCAGAGAATAGTGAATCTACTTGAATGGAAAATTTCAATTTGTTGATTTTATCGATTCTTTTGTTAAATCGGCGGATCTGTGTCTTCTTGGCAGGCCTTTATTTTACTTTGTAAGAGACTAGGCGATATCGTAAAATGAAATAATTTATTTATATTATTTAATATACATTGAAAATCTTTTTTTTAAGTCTGGTATTAATATTTAATATTTTATATAAGAATAATATAAGAAAATATAAGAATAATAAGAAGAAAATTTACATATTCTTCTAAATAATTGCCATAACAATGCATTTACAAACACAAACCTAATAAATTGTTTAATGATTTTATCGTTACATATTCGTTCCGTACTTTATGGTAGAACAGATTTCACTTTTTCAATACGAATTTTAATTTCTTTAGAGCATCTTTGTATACTTAAAAATGTAATATTAAGTGCTTCACACCAAAAACTATATTACAAGTATTTATTCTTGATCCACAATGGTGTGCTAAGTGCTCTGATCACATTCTAATCTTCTACAAAACAGAAAACAAAAGATGTACTATGACTATCTAATAATTGTATATTGATTTATATATTGTTAATGTTTTTCTATTTCTATCTGTAGCATACAATCCCTAACATAAAGGTCTTAGTTGGAAGTTCCTAAATGATGATAGGTGCGAAATGATATTATTCGAAACACAAAAATTTTAACTGTGGATTCATAAAAAATCAACAAAATTAAAAATCTATCTTATATATCTCCTTTGTAACGACCTTTTCCCGGCCCTATCTATAGCTGGGGTATACTCAGCGAGTATACCAGGGTTCGTTATAAGAAAATTTATCTAAGTAAAATAATAGAAACACTTCTGTTTAAAGTAGCGTTTATTATTTAACAAAAAAATAAGAAAATATAATCCATTTGTGGAAAGCGATGTTGAAAATGTTGCTAATGATGTAGAATGTTGTAATGATGTTGTAGACGGTGTAGCATGTTGTAAAATGTTGTATGGTGTTATAACTGTTGTAA